AATCATTTGTACGACGATTCATCTCCCTTCTAAAAGGTTATCGTTTAGCCGACCACATGGTGTGGTACATGACAAACCCATGGAAAGAAAGATTAAGAATGAAATACAATTCTTCTACTTTTGGATCAACATTATTTAAACTATTGCTTTACAAAATATCATGTTTTCGCTTACACGCAAAACAGTAGCGAACGGGCTTATGCTAGTTACAATTATTTGAACGATTTTCAACTTAAATATATATGGCCACAAAGAGACAGTCCCTCGAAACAAGCTCTAGCTAGATAGAGGCGGGAATAGAGCGGTCATGTCGCCAACGCTTGTAGCAGTTAATCCTATCTCTTGACTTCGGATTTTTTTCCCAAATTAACACACTTAAACAAATAAATTCCTAATATACATAACTTTCAACGAAATTTCTAGAGATGGAATCGGGGTGGATTGGGGACGGGTCACTACCTCCTGATCTCCGCCCGTCAGGGGTGACGGATTTCCCTGTCCCCGTCCCCGCAGGGTAAACAGGGAGATTATTTCTACCGCACCCATAAGCAAACGGATCTGGGTAACCCACGGATAATTGACCAACCAAAAGAATGGGAAAATCCTTCAGTTGAGTCTAAGGTTTTTGCCCCCAAAGAGGAAAAGACCTCGACTAGTGAAGTATGACGACGAGACCGCTTCAATTTTCAGTATTCGCGGCAGCTCCATCCCTCAGCCAAACAAGATTGATTTTTATCAACCTACAAAAATGGAGGCATCGAATTCCATGCTCAACAATAATCAAGTGGCGGTAGCTGAAGAGGAAGGGATATGGCGGAGACGAAAGAGGCATGAGGGGAAGAAGAGGAAGAGATAAGAGGGGAAGGGAAGGAAGGGGGAAGGGAAGGAAAGAATAGCGAGAAGAAGAACAGCTTCGAGGGGAAAAGTGGAATAGGATTTCCAACGTCGAACCTCCATTTAGTTTATAAGCGAGGGTCCAAATGACTTCGTTTTTAGGAACGGGGCGGGGATGGGGCCGATACCATGAGATCCATCGCCACCCGTTACCCATTACTTACGGATTATGAGTATGCCCGAATCCACCCTTTATCCACCACGGACAGGTAAAGTGCTCACCATTTGGAAGGGTTTCGGGCGGGTATCCGATGAGTCGGTCAAGGTTGCCAAGCCTAGAAATTTCCCAAATTACTAGAGTTTGAGACTGTCCGCTCGAGTCAAAAGCGAACAGTAAATAAATCGCAGAAGTGAAACGCGATTAAAGTAAATCGTTGATGATAAAGCAAATATACGTTGATAACTTCACAAAGAAGCGAACACGATTTGTTCTTTAGTAGGCCAAGTGAAGAGGATGGCGATCGACGCGGATCGCGCGGCAAAGAAACGACAACCATTGATTGCATGTAGATCTAGCAAACACAAATTGTTTGCCTCTCTGACAAGAAAACTCCTTCTTGCTCGCTGATTGGTGGAGGGAAGACGATGGATCGCGCATTAGTGAAGTGTCAGTTGTCGATCGTGCCCGGATCCATCGACCTAGACTAGTTTGCCTCTTTAACAAGCGAACAGTTCTTGGCTGCTGATTAGTGGAGGGAGGGGGACGCGAATCGCGCGTGAGTAAAGCGACATTCGTTGATCGCTTTAAATCCAGCGAACAACAGTTGTTCGCTGGTTGGTTGATGGAGCGACGACGCGGATCGCTTGTTTTCCTGCAAACCAGAGCTGATTTTGCTTTGACCAGCAAACTTCTTTCCCAAATCCCATAAATACCACCCATAATTCCTTCCAATTCTCACTACAAGAATCTGTACTTTCAGCGACGAATTCTATCGCGACGATAAGAAATTCGTCGCAAAAAGTGGACAATTTGCAACGAATTTCACTTATTCGTCGCAGATTATGTTCAATTTTTTTGCGATGGTTATCTTTCGTCGCAGAATGTATGGAGACTTTTTGCAACGATTTTCTGTCGTCGCAGAATTGATGGAGACTTTCTGCGACAATTTTCTGTCGTCGCAGAATTGATAGAGACTTTCTGTCGTCGCAGAATCGATGGAGACTTTCTGCGACGGTTCTCTGTCGTCGCAGAATTGATGGATACTTTCTGCGACGGTTCTCTGTCATCGCAGAATTGATGGATACTTTCTGCGACGGTTCTCTGTCATCGCAGAATTGATGGATACTTTATGTGATGTTTTTCAATCGTCTTATATGTTTCAAGAAATTTTATATTATTGGAGGTTGGAACCATAGTTAGTAAATACACGTATATGTATCCCTACGTATTTTCTTCGTTTAAATTTTCGTATCCATATTATTGTCAAGGCATTTCATTTTCCCCCATTCATTTGATGACTCGCGTTCTAAACACGTACTCGTATAACACGTTTAATATCCGTATTTAACGAATAAAATGGCTAACTTAACTATTATTTATGTATTTATTTATTTTTAAAATAATTAATTTTATACATTATGACTATTGACGTACTATTGAGCGTAACATTAGTTTAGAGACGAAGTAAATACCCGTACGTGTTTTATACGTAACCTACCCGTACAATATTTTACTAATGAAACTTAATTATTCCAACACAAGCTTCTTTCGTTTCTTTGGAACTGAATTATTCCAACTTAATTGTTACAAATCTCTAAGCCATAAGAGGAATAGAATAGTCTAAAATAACAAATAATCGGCTGTAGACTAAATTTTTTTTTTATAATCGTGAATTCGTTTATTAAATTTCGAAAAACAAAAAAGATCATACGAAATTACAACCAAGCTATACACGCGGAATACTAGCTACGCGAATCCTTGACATACAGACCAACCAAAAGATAGTCCAAAGTCTTTGATGAATTTTTTGACTTTTATATTAAGATTTATTAATGAATAAAAACATATTAAAACTAACATATAACAAATGTTTGCTCGTAGCCCGATTGGTTTAAATGTTGATGAGTCAATGTTTTGTCTGCAGGAGGTCAGCTGTAAACTTCAAGCAGCCACTAATTTTTGTTCTCCGTGCGTAAAGGGGAAGACATATTGTCAGTGGGTTAGTATATATAACAAGAGTGGAGAGGTAAAGAAAACCCTAGCCGCCTTCAACTCTTTTTTTCCTCTCTCTTTCAGTCTTTTTTCTTCTCTCATTTTCTCACCCAAATTGAGAACTCGAATCTGCTCGTCTCCTCAGCGGTGAAGGAAAGATCGACGGTGGGGGAGAAGAAAAGGGATCGCCGGTAGATTCGGTGTCAATGGCGGTGGAGGAACGACCAGCAGCATGGGTGTTGGCCTCTAACAGCGGCGAATCGACTCCTCTCGACCACAAAAGCGAGATTCGGGTAAGATTTGGCCTACACGGGTGTTTTTCTTGAGGTTTTCTGGTTCAAGAGTAGGATTGTGACAATTTTCTTTCTCGGATTTGTTTTAGAACGAGGGAGTAAGAAGACGGCGGTGAAGGAAGTTTGCCTGGTTCCAGATCTGCTCCAGCCGCGATGAAGGAAGTTCAATGGGTCGCCGATGGCCTCTGGCCACGCGAATCGGCTACAGCCGCGGGATGAAGAACCTGATCTACTCTTCTGACGAGAAAAACGAAAGAACGAAACCAGATCTGTTTTTTCTTTAATCTCGTTTTTCCAAAAAAAAAATTACTTTGTTGTTGTATCTACAAATCTGACTTTGATTGTGTTTTTCCAAGTTTGGTATTCTGACTTGCAAAACTTGATTTTGGATGAGGAATTGATAGTGTAGTTATTTGGAGGAAATCTGGAAATTTGACTTTGACGAGGTACATCTTTGATGTTTATGAAATAAGGAACACCCAGAAAACAAACCCAAAATAAAATGTGATCAATACTGAAATTGACCAAAAATGAATTGTGACCTATACTGAAATTAACCCGAAAATAAATACTATATTACTGTAAAAAAAGTCTCCGTTGCTAAATCTTTTGTTACCTTCTGCGACAATTGATTCGTCGCAAAAAAAATCTTTCTGCAACGGAGTATTCGTCGCAGAATACGCGAATTTTCTGCAACGGCCGAAACGTCGTCGCAAAATGGTGATCTTGCGACGAATCTATCGTCGCTAATCGTTTACTTTCAGCGACGAATTCGATTTTTTTGCAACGAAGCTGTTTTTTTCGTCGCAGAACTTTCTGCGACGCTGTATAGGCGACGAACTATTTTTCCTTTTTGCGACGGACGAATTCGTCGCAGAAGGCTTCTGCGACGAATTTTTGACCTTTCTGCGACGAATTTGTCTGTCGCAGAAAGTGAAATTTCTTGTAGTGTCTCACTCCACTCCACTCCACTCTTCTCTCTCTCCTCCTTCCAGCACTCAAGAAAAGATCCGAGTATGCTTTGTGTTTGCGGCTACGGCCGATCTTCCACGTCAAAAGATTTTTTCTTGAGTTATTTTGACCTTACTCCCAAAATTACGAGACAAAAATCCCGTCCAACATCTGTCGAAAATGGAAGATGAACTATCTAAGGGTATAATCTCATTTTCCTTGCTATGTTATTTATTCATTAGTAAATTTATCCTACTTTTGTTATGTTATGATTTATCAAAGGGAATAGTGTGCGGTGCACTAATTACATTTATTACATATTACTTGAGAGTTTTTGTACACCCATTTGTGACTATTTACAATTATTTTTTATTGATTTCATAATAGATGGGGTCGAGATATACGATCCTAGAATCTATATTCATCCTGGTTTGAGGGTCTCCCAATTGTTGAACTCTCAAGAGTACCATCGACCCCAAAGGGTTTTGGGCAAACAACCCGGTAAACACTCATTCATATACCTCATAATTTTTTAAAAGTGATTGTTTTTTTTTTGTTTACTCTTTTAAAGAAGCTTATTCGTTTATTTTATTTAGGAAAATTATGTTCCCATCATACATGGAGGAACAAATTAGATGGCCAAGTGGGATCACAGGATCCAACCCTTTATCAAGAGAGCGGGCTTAGCGAGTGCAGGACACTTCGTGAAGATGGAGTTTGACAACAATTTTCTTACAACCTTGGTGGAGAGGTGGAGGACGGAGATGCACACTTTTCACTTTCTCGAGGGAGAGATGATGATCACTTTGAAGGACGTGGCCTTGCTCACCGAGTTGCCAATAATTGGCAAGGAAATCATCGAAATTCGTCAAGTACAGTTAGAATTTGAGGGGTTCAATCATCGATTAGGCTTAGAGCTGTTAAACGATTGATTATCGGTTTAACTGATTAACGATTATTCAGTTAACGATATACCGACTATGAGAATTCAGCAATCAAATACCGTTATCGATTTCTAACCAGATATCCAGCTAACAGGATAGCTGCTTACCAATTTCTAACCGGTTAACCGAAGTACCGACAAAATTCAGTCTCCATGCGAGCACTTCTCTTTCAGAAGAAGAGAAGCTAAATGAAGATTTTCCTAATCCACCAAAGTGGGCCCTGGACCAAGACTAAAGTGAGACTATGTGTACTGTTGTACTGGGCCTATTCTCACTTCAAGCCCAAAGCAAACTCTCTGGTAAGGTAACAGACGAAGACCTCCCCATCTTCATTTTCCTTCACCGTTTCATATTCACAATTTCCTCCCTCTTCAGTTCAGTTCCCAAAACACTAATTCTCACAATTTCCTCCCTCCTCGTTTCCTGCCCCCTTCCTCTCATATTCAACAGCTCTGATCACAGAGGTCATCGGAGATTTAACTACCTCAACGGCAGCGGCTGCGGGATCTCTATCCTCCTCCTCATCATCTTCTTCTTGGATTTTATTGAAGGGGAGAGGGACAGAGTGGGTGTACCGATGGGAGGGTCCCACGAGCAGCTCCAACGCTGCGGCAGTGCGTGCGGAAGAAGAAGAGGAGGTTGAGGCAGAGGAAAATGTAGTGTCTGGATTCGGATCCGGATGCATTTTGCCCTCGGTCAACAAGTGGTAAATAACAGGAGAATATCTGATATATCGTTTATCCCTTTCCCATTACCGTGTACACGTACCGCCGGTGTAACCTGTTACCGGTTCAGTTACCAGTTACACCGTTAACCAGATTACCGATTACCAATCCTAATTGGGCTAAGAAGCATGAGAGTTGGATCTCTCTTTGGGGGAATAGAGCATCCTTTAGAGTTGATGACACCACAATGACTTGGTACCGCAAGTTCACAAATAGATTTGTCACCAAACGTGGGGCAGTGATCGGTGCATTGGTAAGCTTTTTTTCTTAAAGTATAATCCTATAAAATAAAAACAAGATTACAAGTTTCTTGAATCATATTAGAAATCTTATAAAAGATACAACTTTATAAAGTACATTACAAGTTTATTAAAGTACACCACAAGTTTCTTAAAGTAGATCGAAAACCTCATAAACATATCACAAGTTTATTAAATCACACCATAATTTTATTAAAACATACCATAAGTTTGTTAAAGTATACCACAAACCTCATAAAGCATACCAAAAATCTCATCAGCTTTGACCTGTTTGTAAATTTAGAAAAGTGTGGGTATCAAAATGTAAGACATAAAATTGTTAAGTACTAAGGGGTCGTTTTGTTTTTGTGTTAGTTTGGTTGGGATAGTTACAATGCATGTATTGTTTACAATGCATTGTTTTTCTGAATTTTCTGCGCAAACAATATATTCATTGTTTGCTTGATGTAACACAAACTATCACTCAAAATGAGTGATAGTTAAATCTCAAGTTTTTTGTGAGATTTCATTTATTGAGATTGTTGAGTTTTTTCCTTTTTCCAATTATGCCCCTACTTTTTTATGTGTGTTGTTGTTTTATATTAAAAACAAAGGGTAAAAGTGACATTTCACTCAAAAAGTAATATACCTTATTTAAATAGTACAATAACTATCATAGAAACCAAACGATGTAAACTACAATACACAATTTTTCTAATATACATGTATATTATTATGCATTCATTTTTGACAATTTATCGATTTAACTATCACCAAAACCAAACGACCATTAAATGTAATTTTTCATCAATATTTTTAAGACTTGTACATGTAAAAAAAATTAGGTTTTGAATCTTAACCTTGATTAAGTTTATGCAGCAAACTGTAATTTATTGAAATTACAACACAACAACATAGAAAGGAGAAAGGAAGCTGCTATGGACTCACACTACAACAAAAGTCGCCTACAGCAGGGGTCATATTCCAGCGGTTATGAGATTGGCTGCCGGGTTTTACTCGATAAAACTTATGCAGCGGTATAAGCAGCGGTTAAGGGGACCGCTTTGGGAAAAATCCCCAAATCCTTATATCTTTACCCGGCCCAACTGAATTGGCCTACCTCCGGAAATTGGTTTTCCATTTCCCCATTTTTTTGCTATTGAAAAGCTCTCCCAATTCGATTAAAAAAAAATTGGTCCCCGATTCCTTTTCTTTCCAAAATCGAGTTCTTTCTTTTCTCCGCTCTCCAGCAAGAACCCTAACATCACCACGCGCACACGAGACCCCAATCCTCTGATTTCTTCTCGAACCTTTGCAGCTTGAAACCTAGATCTTTGCTTGCTCTGCTTCGACCCTCGTCCAGTCTACCTGCAACTACGATGAACTCACTATCGCCGCCCAGATCTCCTTCTTCCGTCTGGAGGTCTGACCTTCGCGGAATCGTGGTTCTGCCAGTATTTACAGTCTCCCTGGTTCCGCATCTGTCTACTCTCGTCCGCTGGTAAGAACTCGTGAATTGATTTCTTTCTCTCTCTTTATTGACTTGGATTTATGGTGAACTCTCTCTCTCTCTGTTATACAGTCTTCTTCTAGCATGAAGGAGGCAGAGTCAGCAAGCAATTGAAACTTCAGTTTTGATGACGAGATGAACTTTGTGGTTGTTGTGTGCATTGAGGAGCAGCGAGATGTGGATCAATCTCAATTAAAGTCATCAGGCCTTGTAAGAGGCAATTAGGTTTTGGTATTTGTGATGTTTGGGTTATTGAATTCGTATCAATTAGAAGTACCTACCAATGATTAAAATTGGGCATGAATCTATTCGTCTGTTAATTTTGCTTTGAAAAGTGAATAAAATTAAATTTTGTGACTCCAGAATGAGAAGGTGAGTAGTTGGAACTAATGGTGGAAATGGCAAGAACACTACACAATCGGTTGTTTGTTATCTCAATAGCTTGACTGTGATGCAAAGAAGCACAAGTGTTTAACTGTCTCTTACTATTATCTTTTCAGTCAATGTTATACTCAGTGGCGGATACATGCATGGTTAGGGGTGTCCCGGGACACCCCTAAAATTTGGAAACACGATTATTCAACCTACGATAGTAATTTGCGTATGAGAAAAAAAATATTTAAGTGGTAGTGGGACACCTTTAAAATTTGGGAAAATGATTATCCAATCTCCCGTAGTAGTTTGAGTATTGGTATAAATAATATTTAAGTAGTAGTTTATGTGATTTAAATTTGGGACACTGTCACTATTAGTTAATATATTTTCAATTACGCTACAACTCATTTGTTATTGTGTTTTAGATCCAAATATAATAGTAAAATATTATTCTTATCTCGAATTATTTTCAAAACCAAACGATTAAACTCAATTACGGGATATCCTAGTCTAGTAAGATATGTCGAGAGATATTTGTTGAGCAGTATAAACACCAAATGCATTTTATCATTTGATGAAACACGTCTGAAGTTTTAATGAAACTTTATTAGTTAGATATTTTCATATTTAATAATTATTTAATTTAATTCTAATATTTAATATAATTTTTTTATAGAGGACACCCCTACGTAGAATTCCTGGATCCGCCACTGGTTATACTTATTTTTTTTTGGTTTTACAGGATGGGAAAACTCCACCGATTGGACCAGTTGTTATTTCGCCATATGGATTATTTCCGTCACTCTATCTTGAAGGTGAAGTCTTATTTCTTCCTGTGGAGCTTCTTACATAATTCTAAGTTCATTTTTGACAATACTGCACATGTTGTTCTTTTCCTTGTCCAAGTGATAAAATGTATGATACTTAAGTGAAAATTTTCTCTGAACACTTGTTACATAGTTGGGCTCTAAGGATTACTCCATTCATTGTGCAAAATATAAATCTTGAGATAACTTCTTCCTCTTTTAACCTTTTACCCTGCATGTTACTTCCAATCTAATCTAATAACTTGATGCCTACTTCTTTCTTTTATCATGAACCCATAGCATGTCTATTAAGCTAGTATATTGAACCTTTTTTTTAATCACTAGTAATGTCTCTCTTTCTTTGATATTTGTCAGCCACTTCTACAGTGGAACTTGTTGATATTAAGTTACCATTGACACTCTTTCATGAAAATGAGAAGTTGATTTCCCTACAACTTCACTACTTATCGGTATGTGTACTGTGATCAAGAACTTAAAATTTATTAGCTTTACTTTCTGTCCTATTAATCCTCTGGTCTATATCTTATGAGCTTGGGCATTTGAAGGAAGAACTTTTGAACTCTACTTTCCGCTTTCTGATTCCTGCTTACTGTCTTTAGTTTCATTGCTGCCTGACTCTTCTCTTTCAAAAGCTTATTGATCAGGTACCCCTGGACAGCTTAATAAGTACGAACAAGAAGTGACTAAATCGAGCGAGAAGGTAATGTAATGGGTTTAGCTTCTTTTTCTTGGTCCCATCTTTGGCATCAAAGACTACTGTCTACCAATATTTTGTTCTACATGGTTTTGGTCAGCTTGCATCTGTTGACTTTCTTATGATTCAAGTTAACTCTCCATTGGTTTGGAAACCCTGTCTTTGATATGATTGTGACTAGTTTGAGCAGTCAGGTTAATAAGGTCACTTCTTAATCTGTACAGGTACAAAGACGTCTTGCCCAAAACCGTGAGGCTGCTCGTAAAAGTCGTCTACGTAAAAAGGTAAAATGTGGATTGCATAATAGGCAATTAGTTTGTTTCATGTCATTTTGTTGCTTTTAAGTTTGAAAGGGTTGCACTAGTTTTTTTTGTCTTGTCTGTTCACGCATGTGTTCAGGATTGGTATGTTGACTCGCATAAATTATAGGTCAGGCACTCCTATCCGCATTTACCTATCCGCAGTAGCTAGATGAGTAATTTAATATACACTGCCTGTCCTGTACTAGTGGTTGCTATCTATCAAGAGTTGTTTCTTTACTCATGATTTCTATATAATCTATTGAGCCTGTCATTGTGCTGAACATCCTAGAATATCTATAAAGCTAATGCTTGTTGC